TGCTACAAGCATATTCTTGATGCTAGGAGAAGGAATCTTGATGATAAGAGTTAACCTATGATTCTGGTAGGATATCATAAGGCTGGAGCATATAGGTTGTCCAATTCAATTAATCGGAAAATTGTAATGAGTCGAGATATTATGATTGATGAAAGTTCTGCGTGGGAATAAAATTCTAGTAATGCAATTGATAAGCCATTAATGAGCTATGATTTTGACGAAGCAAGTAATGATTTTGAATTCGAAGATATTGTCGATATTCAAGTTGAATTTATAGTTGTTGCTGACATACTCGAACCATTCGGAGTCGAAGAGGATATGGCTGGAACAAGCCAGAGACCTAAAAAAACTAGAGCTCGTCTAACAATACTTTAAGACTATGAAGTGGTTGGTGATGATGAAGTCACAATAGATGGAAAACTAGTTCATTTTTTCTTTACTTGCAAGTGTTGAACTAATCAATGTCGTAACCTAAAATTTGGCCTCCCCTTTTGCCTTTTAGCATAAGCATGCGCACTCACATTCCTAGCATTCGCATCAACATTTTTATCTGTTAATTTATTGCAGGTGTATATTCAAAATCCCTACAGAATATCAAGGCTGTGAGTATGTTCCTCACTGCACCGTCAAAGTCTCGATACAAGATAAACAAATGGGTTTCCATGTCCATATATCAAATCACGAGGTTGGAATATGGAACAGTGGCTAAAGCATTGCATTCCTAGATAAGAATTTGAATTTTTGTCTGTGGTAACCGATTACAGCATTTCTTGTAATCGATTACACACACGAAGTCAGTCCAGGGAGCACTTTTTTGCCTTGGTAATTGATTAAAGCTTTTCCTGTAATTGATTCAGCTGCGAAATGTGCAATTTTCAACTGATTCTTCACACTAAAGCAGCTCTCGTCTCATTCTTTTGGTCTACATTGTTCTAGAATTGTGTGGAATATTCCAAACCTTTCAAGAATTCACTTACATTTGCTACACTACATCATTTTCAATCAAGACTACCATGCACCTTTGTTTCCAAGCATGTGAACCATTGGATTTTGAAGTTGCATTGGGATACTCCCATTGAGTTAACAACTAACTAACTGAGTCAACTTCCAACTCAGTGAGTTAGATGTAACCACCCTTAGCTAGCTCCAAACCAAGTTTCAAACCTCGACTCTATATGAAGAAACCTTCACAATTTCACAAAGGACCCTTGATCATTTCCATAAATTCTTTACTCTTCACCCTTTCATTCTCTGCATTTTCTACAACTCTCTCCATTTCATCTTCATCTTCTTCACCAAATCACACTAGAACTCAATTTCCACCATTGATGAGTAGCAAATTTCACATTGAAATTGCTTTTCTCTTGGGCTTAACCTCTATTAAATTACATTTCTTCTTGGATTTCTGTAATTACAACAACTTCTACTTCATCTCAGGCTTTGGAAGTTGATCATTACAAGAGTTTTGGTGCAAACTCAGATTTGAAGCATTTTATCGCGTTTTCTTCAGTTTTTGCTACAAATCACTAAGGATCTCGGAATTCTCAGGTTTTCTTCGCTTCCTTTCTTCACATTATGCTTACAACAATTACCAAGGCAAACCTCATCCTTGTAGGTTGGTGATTCTTTCTTACTTCACTATTTTCGGTCGATTCTGCGTTTTTGCAATATAGCTCTTAGTTGATTTTTGGTTGCTTGAACTCTTACTTTGCTTGATCAATTCTTTTAGCTTTCAGTTGCTGCAAATTAAAATTAACTTTGCCTCTGCTTTTCTGCTATGATACACATGTGATAACATGCTATAAGTGATTCTGAAGAAAAGTACTTTTGGATCCTGCTTGTTTGTTGTTTTTGCATGCGTAATCGATTACGCCACCTTTCTGCTCCCTAGGGAGGCATTTTTTGCCTTGGTAACTAGTTACAGCATTTCCTGTAATCGATTACCGCTTCGATTTTTCCCAAATCGCTATTGTTGGGGCTGTTTTCATGTTTTATCCATGTTCTTCCACATGTTTGATCACATTGTTGTTAATGCTACTGTTTTAGGCCAGGATCTACTTGAAATAATTTTTGCTCGATTAATTGCATAATTTTTCTCGATTATTTTGGAATTTGATCATTGTTCAATAGACTTTTGCTCACTTTTTCTTTTTTATGTCTTAACATGATTAGTGATGCATGCTAATTGATTTTTGTTAATGCTTGCCAATTTCATTCTTGTTGCATTAAGTGTGTTCCTTATTGAACACATTTAATCTTGTATAATCATTACTTCATGCATTACCTTTGATGATTTTTTGACTCGCTTGAAAGATTGTTGGCTTATTCTTTCCCTTTGATCGATTGATCGAGACCTTGTTTCGATTGGTTAATCCTCCCTTGCTCTCTTCTTTAGGATCTCTTTAGAGCCTTTCTTTCCTAATTCTCTACAAAGTCAGAGGTCTACAACATGTTGGAGCACTGTACAAATTGCATCGTTATTCTGTCGGTTTCAATTTACGCATTATACTTTGAGTGCTAGAGAAGGGATGAAGGTGGAGAATTCTTATACTCATTCTAATTATTTTGGATAGGGGACGAATGACCCTGTGCCTGGAGTAATCGTCTCTATCTCCAGACTGCAGTGTCTCCTGATCCCCAGCCAAGTCGATCCTTAACCACTTGCATCCTTTTGATCTTTCTTTAGATCAATCACCACTTCCTTGATTCAAGATCAATGCCTTCTTTCCCTCAGTTAATCACAACATGTCTGTTAACATACTGAGTTTCTCTTAGGTTAATCACCTTTTCTTGGTTCATCACCCATTCTTTGGTTAATCATAGTTCATATGTTAAAACCAATACCCTTGTGAGTTAGCAACCTTCTTTTGATTCGAATACCCACGCCTTCGGGTTAATAACCTTTTCTTGCCACAATAATCTCTCTTCGATCAAGTACTACTTGTCAGTTAGTGTACCGAACTCCTTTTGCGTCACGACCTTCGCTTGGTTCTACACCCATTCTCTTGAGTCACAACCTTCACTTGCTTCCACACCCGTCCTTTTGGTTGATCACAATCTGTCTATTTAAACCATTTTGTCCTCTTCTCTTTTTGGTTAATCACTGACTGTCAGTTAGCACACCAAATTCCCCCGAGAGTCAAACACTTTTTGGTTAAGCACTCTTTCTTCTGGTTGATCACCGTCTGTCGGTTAAACACCAATCTCTTTTCATCCCCAGTGGAGTAACTTCTTCCTTCCCTGCATAGCCAATGTCTTCTTTTCCTTCAGTTAACCACTGCATGTCAGTTAGTATACCAAATCCCTAGAAAATCTCACCTTGTCTCTAATCAGTTTGCTTGCTTCTTTATTCACTTGGTTTTCGACACCATTCCGGTTGTTTTTCTCCCCTATTGAAGTCGACACCATTCCTTTGCTTTTCTCTCTTGGTTTTGACACCATTTTCCTTTCTTTCTCCATCCTAGTTCTCCGAACTACGTAGGTTCTAACATCTTCATTGCATTGCGAGGATACGTAGGCACGAGATCACTCTAGCATCAATAGTTTCATTCTTCACCAAGTTCTGACTAACCCCTACCTTTACCTCTGCCACTAAATGACAAGTTTATCCCACCAGAAAACAATAATACTCTTTACTTTAATTGCCACCATCTTAACTTGCTTATTCTCATGGACGCCCATAACGTCGAAGAACCTATCAACGTCGGTCTGCCTATCCAGAAACTCCTCCACTTTCATCATTCCATAAAATAATGAAATATCAGTCATCACTCGATAATCATGATTACGTCAATTCTCATGACCAACTACCTCTTCCTCGTAGAGTTCTTCCTCTTCAAAACTCAAATTTTCAACAATAACAACACAACGAATGTTTCCACCCCGCAGAACCCTAACATGTTTTCCTCTCTATTCTCTTCATTGTTTCCCGTTGTTGTTGACATTGTTCGCCTGATTTTCTAAATTCGCCATATGTTTAGTCAAAACAATTAGAGTTGTGGTAAAAGCTACAGTAATTCCCTAAAGATCTTTCCTGTTCACCATTTGATCTCCCAGGGTTGATCAAGTTACGAAAAGAAACAAGAGAAATCTGTTGTGATACCACCTAATGCATTCAGAAACACTAAGGATTATTAAGCTCTAAACCTAGAATGATCACAGAAGTTTTCAAATGCAAAACCTGTTAGATAAACTCTGGAATCCACCAGGTAAAAAAATATTGAATTTTATTAAATTAAGCATAATCGTGAGAACCACTCCCAATAGTGTTTAGATACATGAAAAATAAACCTAATGGACTTTTAATCCAAAAAGAAATAAAATAGAAAGAAAAAAACCTAGTGTGCTTTTAATCCAAAAAAAAATATTGAAATTTGCGAAAAATATTAAAATACTATTTTTGCGCCTGAAACAAAACACGGATGACTTAAAAAGCCTTCCAACATCAGATTCAATCCTGACTATTTGTTCATTTTTTTTAATTTGAATATTGTCCCTTGATATCTTTTTTAATTAAATAGAAAAATACTTTACATACTATTTGTTCCTTAAATTTAAGATATCTTACATTTTTAAAGAGAAAAATGCATGTGTATATAAATTATTCAATGGAGATTTTATTTTATTTTATTATGACACTCAGTAAATTTCACTTTCTATTTGTGTTTTTACAAACAAATTGAGAGATAGTTGTTTGATGCATTAGGTTTTATATTCTCCATCCTTTTTATTTTTTTATTCAACAATTTACTTTTATTAAAAAAAGTATTAATAATCTTTGTAGTTTTTTTATACAGTTCACTACTCACGTAAAAAAATGATATAAAAATTCTAAAATTTAAAAAGAATGGAATAAAACAGAGAGAATAGTTGTTTTAAAATGTAAAACATTATTTTGATTATTTGGCAACAACAACAAAAGTAAGTTACATATATGATTTTAAGAATTCTTATTCATTGTTGATGTGACTTTTTAAGTCACTTTCTTCACTAAAGCAAGATTACTTGTTTTTTGCAGCTGGTTTGGTTGCTTTTCCCTATACACAGCCAAAGATCAAAAGCTTTATTTTGGTAACTAATCTCATATTATATAGTAACATGTTCATGAGAAAGAGGTAAGATAGATACCTTTTTCTTATTTGATTCTTGAGGCTTCTGTTGAGCTTTCTTTGAAGCTGATTTGGAAGGCTGACCCTTTAGAGCACCATCACTAGTTTCTTTCTTGGCCTGCCCAAAAAGTTGGGTGCCAATGGGTTTGTCAGCCTTCATGGATACCATGCTGTACTAAATAGTGTATCTTTAGGCAAATATATTGTTGTTCTTTTAGTCTTTAATTACATGTATGTTCTGAAATATGCCTTTTATAGGAGTCTAAATTAAGCCACTAGGCACGAATACTTACCAATTGCTTTGGTGGAGAGGAGATAAGAATAGCATAATTGACAAGTTCATGCAAGTATGAAACACTTTTGAATCAAATGCTTATAATTATCAGCATATATTTTAAAATATGGTTCAAGATTGCGGCATATATATATATATATATATATATATATATATATATATATATATATATATATATATATATATATATATATATATATATATATATATATATATATATATATATATATATATATATATATATATATATATATATATATATATATAACCTATGATTTTAAATTTTTTAATTCAATTAATTCATATCAGTTGAAGGAGACTTTAAGGTCTCTAGTTTTTTTTTTCTTTTCTAGATCAACTAAATCTAAAACGCAGATGTAGCCGAGTCCTAGATATAAAAATACACATATATTTTTTTATATTTTCTATTTTAATTTTTCGTATTTTTAAATATTTAACTCAAATGGCTCAAGAGTTTGTTTTTTCACAAAAAGTTAGACATTTTAACTTGCCACCCTTTAATTATATATTTGGCATCTCCATACTTTTAAATTGTCAAAACTCCTTTAATTAAAAGTTGAATGAAATTTTCATTTAAATTTTAAATAGACAAAAAAAAAATTCCAGTACAAATAAAATTTCCGATAGTGAATTATAAATTTTTGATGTATCGGATTTTTTAAAAATTTTTAATAAACCATAATTAAACCCAAAATTTTAAAATTTACAATTTGTTATCGAAAACTTCAACCAAAGTAAAATTTTCGATAGTGTTATTTGTTTGAATTTTTAAACACTCGAGATTTTACTGATAGTTTTGGATGACTATGATTGCACCAACAGTTTTGTGTGGTCCAGGGTAAATGTAAAGTTGTATTAATAGGGGGTCACATTTACTTTGATAAAAACATCTCTAAAAATGCTCTTCCTCAATTTTTGATTAAGACAGAAATGAACTTCAAAGGAGCTTCACCTCCTGTAGAGTTCCGACTTTCGGATGACACCACATCTCTCGTCAGCCTGACGTCCAAGTTGAATGAATTGTGGTCTCGTACCGAAAACAGAAAGGTGAGAAAGATCAAGTTTCGTGAAGATTGGATTGATATTAATGAATGGGTGAAATACAACCTCATCTGCCACCTCATCTCTGAGCTGCTCAACTATTCGTACCAGTCAACGTCGAGTGCTACAAGGTGTGCAGAACTGACCCTGCTCAGCCAATTGTTTCTAGTGCGAACTGGTTGAAACCACTTGTCTAGCTCGTATTTGAGAAGACTCAACCTCAGCATCCCTAACAGCCCTGGTCTGTCACTCTGCCTACAATAGTGACGTCCCTGCCTTTGTATTTCACTACAAAAGAAGGGAAAAATAAAAAAGAAATTATTAACTACTGCAAATTTCAGAATTTTCGATAAAAAACAGTATTTATAAATATCGAAAATTCTGAAATTTCCAATAAAAAAACATATTTTTTATAATTATTGGAAATTTCAGAATTTTCAATAAAAAACGAAGTTTTTATAACTATCAAAAATTCTGAAATTTCCGAAAATTTTCAGGTGATTTTGTACTAAAAATTTTAGAATTTCTAATTAAAATATTTTCATTAATATCTAAAATTTTGAAATTTTTAGTAAAAAATCACGAAAATTTAATAATTTGCAGTTAAAACGTAGTGACTTTAAAATTTTCAGTAAAAGAAACGAAATTTCCAATATCTTTTTAGAAAAATCAAATTTGTGCGTAAATTCTATAAATTTAAAAAATGAGTGGAAAATTTTTGCAGAGGCGATGTTATCTTTTTATACGTAATGATAGGTGGCAGGTTCAAATGGGAGAATGTTAAATGCTTCCATAAATTAGGATCCCTAAACCCCTTATGCATATGGTAGTTGCAATTTGAATCCACAAACACTAAATGACCAATTAATTAATTGTATATAACTACTTTGTTATTTGATCTAAGTGTGATATGATATGCTTTTGTTTTAATTTATTTGAATTACTATTAGAGAATTTTTTTTCAAATAATCAATATTTTTAAATTAAATATTCCAATAACTAGTTTTCTCCATTATTACTCTTTCAAATTAAAAGAAAATTGCAATAAAAAAAAAAGGTGCCATTGGTATTGGCGTGTGCATTGAAAATTGCACATAAATGCCAATACTCATGCATCATTTTCTCTAGCGCATGCATTGTAGACCATTAGAGTATGCACCACTCCCCTTGTTGTTATTGTCTACTGATTTTTTATTAAAAAAATTGAAGTTATAATTAAATAAAAATAAAAAAATTGAGAAAAAGAAATACTAATACTATTAAATTTAAATGGAATTATAAGACAGAAAATTTTATAAACATATTTTAACAAAGTTTGATCATAACAGTCATCAATTCTACAACCCAATGATGCCCATCGCCGTTAAGGCTGCACAGGATTCCTCTAAGGTAGTTGTTGGCACCTAGAATTCACCTTAGGTGTTTAGTGCCTCCCATGATTCACCTGAGGTGTTTGGTGCGAGGTCCTTGAAATATTAGTATTATCAATCAAATCTACCATCTCTTGCCAGTTACATGCTCGGCCATAATCGAGTTCGGTATCCATGTTGTCATACTTGAGTTAGGTTAGTTGGATTACGGGTGGGTGATCTGGTTGATTCGTTTTGAAAATAAAACAATGGTTGTTGTGGTGTTTGATAGACATGTGTTGATTGGGTGTTTTGGCGGTCTAATGTTTGGGTGATTTGGTTGTGTGATGTTTAGGAGTACATTGCTCATCTAATAACTAGTTAACTCCATAGTGTCCTCTGAATCAAGTAGGAAGTCTTCCAATTTTGCATGGGACTTTCAACTGCTGTCCTAGAGATTCGATAGTTTTCCGGCACTCAGAAAATCTATTAGCAGCCAATCCTAATTCCTTCTCCTACATCAAATGATGACAAGATCAAGACCAAATATAAAATGGTTAATGCAAAATTTAGCTATTTAAACATTAAGTTCTGGAGTCTCCGATGATAATTTAAAACTAAAACTTAGCTTTGTGCATCATGAAAATCACAACTACGAGAACGAGATTGTAGGCTATGCTTTAAATTAGAGAGTTCACATTGTGAGTTCCAAAGTTTTACCTGATTGAAGATTAACTTGCTATCAACACCTTCCCTGTGTAATATTCCAATGTCTTGCTGGAGTTGAGTTTCTTGCTTCATTCACAAAAGCATCTTCCAACTTTTCATAACAGTCTAATCCTGCTAACTAATTCCAATTTTAAGTGCAATAGACACAATACAATTCAAGTGCTAACAAACACCTTATTTTAGCATAGTAATCCAATTAGTTCAAACCATTTAATTCCAGCTCAATTCGATCACTAACAGCAACAAGCAGAGTAATTTGAAATGCAATTCAGTTTAGGAAATAATCACCAAAATGATCACCAAAATTGTTCTGAATCAAACATGGAACTTATATAGAAATGATTTGTGGGTTTTAGAGGTCCAATAGAGGCCCAAATCAGAATATCCAATTTTCAAATTTCCTTGAAAACTCCAAACATGATGAACACGAATTTGCACTCAAAACTTCCCTTGGAAGCTTCAATTCTATTCCTTGTGGTCTGTGGAAAGTGTAGAGAGTGATTAGAGAGCTTAAACTCCTCTCATGACCAAGTTTGGATGTGTTGCTTATTCATGAAGTTACAAGTCAAACCACCATGAAATAAGCCTCAAATGAAAAATCTAATAATGCCAAAGTGTTTAGAATGATTTTTCTAATTAAAATGAGTACTCATTTGCCTTGTTTGAGCACAAAATGAATTAATCTTGAATTTTTCACTTAAATGCTTTTAAATTCTCCTTTTTGCCAAATTTCTCAAACCAAGTCTCACCCTAAGCCAAATTAATTCATCATGAGGGCATGGTTTACCTAAAAACTTCATTTTGAGCAATTTTTGTGTTGAACAAAATTTCATTTGAAGCTTGCAAGATGGTGAAAATGACCTATAATGCCAAATGACCTATAATCTTACTTTCCCAAAATACCACTAACTTGTAAACCTCATAACTTGAGTTCTACAAATCAGATGGAAGACTTCTAATACAATTTGGAAAGCTAAGATCAATACATACAACTTTCATGTTGGAAAAAAGTTTAGGAGAAACACCTTTCTAGGTCAAAAGTTCCTTGGAAGTTGGTAAACATTCACAGACAAATTTCACATTCCTCAGATGACCTGTAACTTGTGTGAACCATAACTTGAGTTCTATAAATCCAATGGAGGAATTCTAGTACTCAAATTAAAGCTAAGATCATGATCTACAAGTTTCATGTTGGCAAAAAGTGGAGATGAAACTTGTATCTTGAGATACGTGGTCTTGAATTTAGGCACTAAATATGGGATTTTACCTTGAGAACCCTAATTTAGCAACTCCTCACACTTTGAACTTTTCTTGGATTGATCTTGGAATATCACCTCATGTATCTCAACACAACTATCCATGATTACAAAGACTTAGAATTGGGCTTTGATCCTCTTCAATTGCATAGTTGACTTAGGGTTACTCAGATGAAAACCCCAATTGCAACACCCTCAACTGTGGCTCTTCCCACTTGGCATAATGACTTGAATGAGCTCTCTCATGACCCTCAACACACTCTATGAGCTCTATCCACACATTGTCTCCTTGATCAAGGCTCCACAACCCCCTGATGGTCTTCAGTTGGTCCTCAGATTAGGAGATTAACCACATACAAACAACTGAACCTCTCAAGAACTCAACCCTCTTCCTGATGACTTTGGTGACTTCTCAAGCTTGCATAAGACCTCTAGAAAGGCTCCTCTTGATATAAACCACACTTGATCC